TTACATCACTAACCTTGAGCCGCTTTGACAAAAGATCATAACGATGTTCCAACTCCACAGTAGGAAAACAGTTTACTCACCTTCTCAAGCATCTTCTGCCAGACCTGCCTCCACAGAATGATGACTATGATGGTGAAAAGGATGGCTATAATAGCCACCAGGCAGCCAATAAGGATCTTTGTGTTGCTGTCGTCCACTTTGTGAGTGGGGTCATCCCCTGATGAACCACAGAACGGTTTTAAAAAGGCTTAATGCAGTAAATCATTTGTCATTAGATAAAGAGAGTGTAGTAAATGTTTTAATGTAATAAATGTAATAGTACCGGTACACCTGATTTTATTTTAAAACAAAATACTGTAGTTTCTGATTCTCTCAGCAGGGGGCAGTGTTTACCTAGAATATCCCAACAATGCATGTCATGTTTCCCTTGAAATAAAACACTTCTCCACCTTAAAGCAGGATGCACGACATAGATTCAGATAAACCTCACCAAATGATGTTCAGTTGGTTACCTAAAGGTCCCTGTTTGGACTGCTCTCCCTTTTGACGACCCAGTGAGGTGTTGTACACTGCAGAGCCTTAGAAATAAAAAGAGACACGGTGACATTATGCTCAGAAATGACTGATTTTCTAAGGACATTCTTTTTTTTTTTACCTGATTGGAAGGCCACCTCACTGAACAGCATCCACTGGTCGCTGAAGTGAAAACGGCATTTGATGCTCCTAGCCGTTCGGTCCCCAAGGGGCACAGTGAGAAATCGGGCGCTTTGGCCCACAGGCTTGACAGCGGGCCTAAAGGTCATGGGGTCAGACTCCCATTCTGTTTCGGAGCGGAAGTAACAGGTAGCCTGTCTGAACTGCCTCACTCCACGGCTGAACATGTTGCTGCAGTGAACCTGTAGTAGCAGAGCAGTGGTTAAACAACTAGAATACGCAAACCAAGCGCTCCTACTCATAAATACATATTTTTAAATTGTTTTTTCAAGATAATGATATAACTATGTCTTTATCATGGTTAACTGTTAATTGCTTTTCAAGATAACGAGATACTTCTCATTATGACAAGAAAATAGTTATTGTTTTCTCCTCATAATGAGATGATTATCATGAATCAAACATAGAAGATATCACCTAACAGACAACCTAATCTTGTTACGTAAAAGTTAGGTTTTTCTTAGGATTACTCACAGAATTACACATGACTTATACTTATAAATTCTCTCTCGCTGTTGAAGGATGAAGGCTGTAGGCCTAATCAGTTTAACTCACACATCAACCATCTCATGATCTTGAAAAAGGGACGTTTATTTTCTTGAGATGAACAATTTTATTATCACGAGAAAACGGCTTTTGGTGTGTTTAGGTAATGATCAAATTAACTTGTTATCTCGAGAAAACCATCGTAAAAAAATCGCCCTCGGCTTCCGTACTAAAACCTTCTGTGTAATAAATGATGTCATTTATGGTCAACATTTATTTCTCAGGTTTTCTTAGTTTGTCTTTACTCTTTTTCAGCCCCATTTCTTATTTTAGTATCCCTGTGTGAATCACTGTAAGGCGAAACTAACAAATAGGTTCTTCTTTTGACTGTAATGGCCGCTTGGTTGTAATGTGTTGCACTTTTCAGTGATTGAAAGTGAAAGATGAAAAGAACATAGAAGCATTCGGGAGCAGCTTTCCAAAATGCAAAGAATGAGGGAGAAAAATGGGCCCAAATCAGAGGTACGTAGAATATTTAGATTTTGCAAAAATTATATTCTAACAAGCAA